CCCCAAAACCCCAAAACCCCAAAACCCCACTTGTCTCACCAAAGTTGATTTTAACTAAATCCACTAAAAATGGCAGGAAACCTCAAATTATTACAAATTTATATGAACTTAGCTAACAGAAGAATCCTTTCTTCTTAATAGGCTCTTGGCAAAATGGTTATCTATCAAGAAAACACATGCATCAGGAATCCTTTCTTCTTTAGTGATGTAATCTTCGAAAGGTTTGACATTTTGATATGTTTCACATTTAATTCGGATTTTATTTCTGACGGGGAGTAATAATCTTCCTCATCTTTGCTGTAAAGGCTTCTGACAAATGATTCAGTTTTGAAGAGTGGCTTGTCACTAGATTTATAACTCATTGGGTTATACTTATCCTTCATGGAAGTACAAAGATCTTTGAATTTATGTGTACCATTGGCTAATGGGCATCTTCTAAGATGAGTTCCAAATTTAATAGAATTGATATGGGCTTGGGTAGTATCTTGAACATCTACCATTTGGTAGTAGGCTTTAGGCACTCTTGAAAACTGCCCATCAAGAATCAGGACAAATATTTTTAAACTTTCTTCTTTAAATTGAGGTACAAGTGGATTATCACTAATGCCACAAGGATAGGTGAGCATCACATAAAAAATTTACGTTAACTTTCTCTTTAAGATCTTCAACAAACTTAATTGTAACTTGCTCTACCCTGATCTTACTATTAGAGTAAGCATCAAGCGATTTGTTTTCTTCGACGAAACCATTGTGTAAGCAGATTCTTTCTCTTTTCTTGTGGTAGCAAATAGTTAGGCTCATAAATATAATTGCCACTCTTTGAAAATTGTATCCAATACAGGCATCGAGTACATTTATATTTCCTTCAATATCTGGTTTAGCTACCTCATTTTCTTCATTCTTCAGTTGAGCTAGCCATTAGAAAGGTAAGGTGGAGGACATAAGTGACATCTTCCATAGCAAGCTTAATTGAGGTGAAGTCACAAAGCTCAGTCTCAGAGAATTTAAAATTCTAAAAATTATTCCCTCATTTTTCTTAGATGGCATCCTCCAGAGGCTTTATTCTGACTTTATTTTTAGCGTCTCTGATAGTTCTTCTCACTATGTAACTACATGAGTTGAGGAGCTTGATGATGGTTTATTCTGTCACTTATCCAGAGAGGCTTCTCTGTCAGATTAAGATCAGGCTTTAATAATAACTAATTAAGATGGTAATAGGAAGACTGAAGAGCATTATGAGGATTTGCCAGAAAACCCTCATGCTCAATTTACCTCTTCTTCTTAGGCCAAAAATTCAATGTAAATCTAGTACAATAAAATTGTTTAAATTTGTTAAAATCTCAAAATTCCCGAACAAGTAGGAAGTATTGGCAACAAGGTAGGTCTTCATATCTATACTTGCCAATTATATTTAGAAATTCCTAGTAAGCTTACTCTTGCTTCCAACTTTCTTCATTATAGTTAACAATTTTATAAGATCAACCATTACTTAAGTAAACGGGGTTTTGGGGTTTTGGGGTTTTGGGGTTTTGGGG